GGGGACCGAACAATTTTACGTGAATCCTGGGTATACATGTTTTAAATAGTCTGATACCTCCAGGGCGCATCACCGCATTTTACAAGCCAGGGAAGGTGCCTGAATCCTGGGTAAACATTGTTTAATTGTTTAAGTGTTTTTAAATATGTGGATCAGTGTTTTGTCACTTTCAAAACTCTCCCGTCATTGACCGGAGAAATTGGGTCGATGTTTCAATCTGATGTTAATATTCCAGTGAGACGAAGTACGTACAATGACTGGAGTGATCCCATGTTAATTTTGTCCCAAAACCGGAGCATTCCCTCACCCATTAACACCATATCCCTACATGCATTGCGGCTAAAACATCCAATCAGCAATCTTAAACCATAGCTGAGGATCTTGGGTAATCAGTTCAGTGGCTGTGTATCGCAATGATGCTCGAAATGTCCCTTATAGGCCTACGTCTGTTTCCGGTTATTTTTATTTTGAAATTCAGTTCCTGACGGACGCCAAAAAAGCCCGAGATTATGGAATTGAACAAATAAATAAAAACAAGGATAATTGTGTGTTATTGGTGAGTAAATAACAGTGTGTTATTTAGAAAAGAATAACAAATTAAAAGGAAAAAATATTTTAAAAAATACAGATTTCAGTATTCTGAGGCTCTGAGCTCCATTTCTTTTCCTTACAGACGACAAAAAAAGTCAGACATTATAAGATTTAAAATAAAAACAATAATCGTGGCTTGATATTGAGTAAGAACATGTTTTTATGAACCCCACGGCTTCCGGTCTTCCAAGACCCGATCAGACAAAAAGACAAACACATTACCAATAGAAATACATTGCTTTTAAAATCGTTCTGTGTGACACGGAAAAAAGGTGAAAATCGTGTTGGTGAACACGAATCAATAGATTAGATGTGGTGACTATAACACGAAATGCCGTGAGACTGGGCTGGGTATATGGAGTTTAATATCTGTACGGTGACACGTTCTTAGTGGATATCAGTACCAATGTGGAAGAAGAAAACATCTGATCACTTTGTTTGCGCTCTTAATTTAATAAGCAATTCGTTTTAATTCCATTTAAGGTGAGATTAAAATGCTAATTAGTCAGGAGAGGAAATTCATCTTATTAGCTGTAGGGTTATTTTTAAAGGAACTCTTAAAAAGGCACTTTTACCGTCTTGCTTTGTGCAAGTGCAAACACTCATATCATTACATAGCGTTAACGGTTCACCTCAACTTTTTAACTTTTGCCGATTAACACAGTATTTAACACTAACGAGGGTAGCTTTTAAATAGAGCAGTTGATCTGCAGCCTGCATAGCGTTGTTCAAGTGCAGCTTTTTTTTTCTTCTTCTATTTACAAGTTGTTAGAAAACACTTAATTTAGTTTCTTCTAAGACTGGTGGCATTACAGGGTATATTTCTATATGTGATGCTAAGTTTTGTATATACATATATGCACTGTATATACAGTATGCCAGTGTATGCAAACAATGTTTGTAAGTGTTGTAGTCTAATAATGCATTTGTAGATTTTGCTGACATGGCATGCATTGTCAACAGCTTACACATTTGATTGTGTATATTACACCATAACAATTGTGTACGTTGTTCTGATCTCTTGATGATGCTGTTGTATTCTTATGATGGTGCAATATTTTATCTCTTGTTTTGATACTGTCTCTGCAGCTTTCCAACATGATGTTTCTCAGTTTTTTGTACATCCTCGAGGTTTGGGGATTTAGATTTTAAAAAGTTAAAGCCCGCAGACAGACTGCTTTTTCTTATGGACTCCACACACAAAAATATTCTTCCAGCGGTTCACTAGTTTGTAGTTTTGCTCCTCTGTGCTTCCAGGGTGATACACTGAAGTAGGACTGTGTCAGTGAATGGCAGACATGACTGTTGTGTTCACATGTAATATGTACCACAATGCATCTGTGTGTTTGGGCTACTACAACAGTGGATAACTTATCAGCAATTGTATATTTACCATTGCCAACTTACTATATATTTCAACTCTAGTTCCCCCTTTGGAGGATAATTAGTTGCCTTTATGTCCTCTAAGAGTTATATATATGTCTGCTGTTAAGGATTTATTTAAAACCTTACTTTTTTAACTTAATATCGAGTGCCACATTTTCATCGTTCATCAAAGTATCCTTCTAAATAATAGAAATGACAGTGAAACTACCGTAACATCCCACCAGAGGGCGACTCTAAACAGAATATTTACTGTTTATCTGCCGACAATCAATTTAGTCAGGCTATTTATTTGTCATTTTCTGCAATATTGCTCATTGGCATGCAGGAATCGGTTAAATTCCAATCTAATATACGATTTTTTATGCAAATCCTGCCTAAAAGAAGATATTTTTAACTAAAGACGGACAGATTAACACATATTCTTCCGTATTTGATCGCACCGCAGCCTGACTGAAGATCATTCGTGGACAAAACTCTGCCTTTAATTCATTAGAATATCAAAATCATTGATACCTTTTATGACCTTTTGCTATATAGAAACTCTATTTAAGTTTCAGTATGTGCTTTATATGGAGCAGTATCTGCTAAACGCTGCCTTGTTCCTGCAGTGCTCGTTAAGTCTGGCC